TTTTTCTCTGAAGATTAGTGAGAAACCTGATTTTGCAAGAGTAGTTTTGAAAAGCAGTGCTGCTGGGCATCCTGAAGCTCTCAGAAGTGTGTGAAACGATGCCCTGTGTGGGGAAGTGAAATCACAGCCATGAGAATATGGTGCTGAACTCCTTTTCTAAGCAACCTCTGCAGGTCAGTGAGTTGAGTTGTCGCTTTCCAGTGATCTGGCAGTGACCCCATAAACGCACTCTGGGAGGTTCCTTGGGCAAGTAAAAGAACAGAGAGGGAAAAGATTAATTGAAGGTCGTTGTTCTACCGGACTCATATCTCCTGAGGAGGTGGAGGTTGCCTGGGGAAGCCCTTTCTGCCTCATTGACGTGGTATTTCACTCTCTAAATATTTATGTAACAATTTTTTGTCACTGTTAAATTCAGAACAAAATTAATTGATGATCCTACGTTGCGGCATGGTGAGGAGCTGCAGACTTGGAGTTTTCTGGCGCATTGCGTCCGTCCCAGCACCCGTCAGTTATTGTGAGTAGGGTACGGGGACTGCCATGAGGTGCCGTCCCGGATGTGCCAGCTACATTCACTTCATACATCTTGTGGGTTCCTCCATCCCTTAACAGGTGTAAGCAGATGTTCTTTGGTGCTTTTCTTTCAATCTAAGCAGAATACTGAGGGAAACGAGGAAGAAATTAAGCCATTCCGATTACTTTTGAGTAATCCTTTTACGAACATCGCAGTATGACTGTTCATCATTTCAACCGACTCACAAGTTTGCAAAAGTCTAGATGATCTGATTTCTGTTGCAGCTTCTTGGAAAAGTCTAGATGTGTCAGCAAGAGAGCTGATATCAGGCTCAAGGACCAAAATCCACGGTAGGAAAACTGAGATCAGCTTTCTGCCCACCAGAAAAGGAAACGTGCTGCTCTTCCACTACGGCTGCTCCGAAATGCCATCCTGTCCTCGGATGGGGCGAGCCTCCGACAAAAGAGGTCTCACTTAAACTCTCCAGCCGGGTAAGCTGCAGTGCGGAGCTTCATGCTTGACTCAAACTAGTGGTGGGTTTCACCCAAAAGAAGTATCTTCAAGAGGACGTGCCTCAGCCCCAGGGGAAGTCCCAGGTGTCAAAAGGTGTTACAAATCACCAGGATTACTTTGGGGAGCTACAAGCGGCTGAGATAAACCAGCAAGAGATTAAAAATCCATTTTTGAGTGGCCTATGAAAATCAGCCCATCACCTGTTTGGTGTAGAGAGCACATGAACACAGCCCGGGCCGTGCCCTCTGCTTGTTCACCAGCGCTCCCAGAACAAAACATTGAGCCCCTTTCACTCCAGCTGGAGCCAGTTTGTTCTTTATTGGTGATGAGTAGAAACTGCTCTTACTGGAAGGAGCTTTGGATTCCTTCTGACCCTCGAGGTTTACTTCTCCTTCTGGGTAGCAGCAAACTGGGTTTGCTCTTCTTTGTTTGTAGAATGCGTGTTTAAGTCTCCTAGGTTTGATCTTCAACAGCGTTAAGAATAAAGTCCAAGGGATTCGCCGTCTGCAAATCCACTGATGGCAGCTGGAGGAGAGAAGCTCATTCTGGTGCTGCAGAAGGCAAATGTTTAAGTGTTAAGTCTCTGTAGATACACAAAATGATTTGGCTGCTGGTTCCTGAGGAGAAAAACCTCCACGTCCTCTCACTTCCTCCCTGTGGCTCCTTCACGTATCCAGAGACTTGGCATTTGCTTTTTGAGCGCGTGACCTGGTTTTGACTATCCACCGATGCCTGTTCAGAGAGTCTCTCTGAGAATGAGATGCTGCCTCTGCCTTGGGCATCGCTGGAGGATGAGGGGAGGCTGTGAGGGACGAGCTCTCCGTTCCCCCTTCCCCAACCACAAGTGCCCGTGCGCCTGCTCTGGGTTCAGCACGTGTTACTCTTCAGGACTCCTTCTAGCTCACGGCTGGGTATAAATGAGGTGCCCGTGCCTGGGCTGCATACGTGGAATAACATTAACGTAATAGACGTGCTTATATGTGGAGGGAACAAGTGTGAAAAGAATATTTGGGAACGCTGAGTGTTGAGAGATGAGGACATAAGGAGCCCAGTGTGTGCACAGGAGAAAGATAACGGCTGGAGAGGAATGCAGCCCAGACTACAGCTCGGTGACGTGTGTAACAACTCTAAAAAATGAAAAGAATGCCGCTCATTGTAGTGTTGGGCCTCCCAACAAATAAAACAGAGTACAAAATTTTCCAAAGTACATTTTTATGCAATGCTGTATCTGCTTGGTACTTGTAACTGCTCAGCAGCCTGAGCTACCCGACAGAGCAGAGGACACACGGGAACGGGAGATGCTTGAGAAAAATACGAGTGGTCACAGCTGCCGGTGAAGCCTATTTAGAGGATGCCGCGCTGGCTTATAAAAACAGTATTCCTTGTGGGCAACTGTATTCCTGAATGCAATTCCTTTCTTGCAGCTCAAACAATGGGGGGAAGTTTGTTCAGAGCCCCGGTGGGGCAGGCGGGGGTACCCAGCGCTGCTGGTTTCAGAGGCGGTGGCTGATGTCCTCTTCATTGGAGGTCTTCAGAGCAGAGCGCAAAGCTTGACCTGAGAGCAGCCAGGCTATAAATGGCAGTTCCAGGGAAAATGACTTGTGGGAGGGTATTTTAGACCCTTCAGTGTCCCCACATGGTGATGTTTGAGAAGTTGTGCATATTAAGCAAGTGTGTTTATGGCCTGGCTACTGTTTTCAGACTGGTCTCTTACATGCTTTTGTTCTGAGCAAGCGAGGCTCTGCCGGCTGATGGTTGTTATCCCTATTTTGTCTTGAGACATGATACGGGTTGCTGGTGCTCTACTGGTATAAAACCTACCAAATGTTTTTTTCCTCGTCGCAAGCCTGCTGTTCCACATGCCAAACCAGGGATGGCAGAGCCCTGCCTGAGGCGAGGGGGTGGCTGGGGGTCCCGGGGGCTGTGGGATGTACCGGTAGGCGAGGGATGAGGAGTTTGTGACCCAGGAACCGGTGGGGTTTGTGCGATGGGACGCAGCAGCAGCCCAGTGTGCAGATCACAGCATGCTCTCTTGCTCTTTTCACAGATAAAGATGGTAAATTGTGATATTACCAGGGGTGTAGTACAAAACCCATGAGATTTCCCAGCCAAGTGCTCTGTGCCGTAGGATGTGATTTGTATATGGGTGTGTTTTCTTCTCTTCCATTGATTGGAAAGTTTAAAAAACAAGAAAAAAAAGCTAAATTTCTTTCTCAGCCAGCTATTTGGGATTGGTGACAGCTTCGCCCTTCCACTCTGCCTTGTGGCACCGATCCTGACAGGAGAGATGCTGTCTGGGAGGAAATAAAAAGGCAGATCTTCAGGTACAGAGTATGCTGTGCTCTTCACGGGCTTGGGAAGGAGCACTCCTGCTTTTACACCAAAGAGTAGGTAAATTCTGTGCTCTTTCTCCTTCCCCCTGTGCTTGCGGTATGGGGGGACCAGAGTAGGTACAGCCGGAGGGGAGGGATGGCGAGCTGTCCCCCGTGTGCCTTCCCAGCACATAAAGCACTGTGCAGAGGTGGCCGTGGATATTCTTGCCTTCAGAGGGAATCTGGTGAGATGAGGCAGAAGGACAAAGTACAGGAGTCTGACCTATTTAAGCAGCGGCAGTGCAGAGCCAGCAGGCACCGGTACACGCGCTCCCGCGTGGCTCTGCTGAGCAGCGTACCCGCCAGGCTAAATTCAGTTTCCACTGAAATCCTCGGGGTCTAAGATTTATGGCTAAGTGTCACCTGTAAGATATTTAAATGCCGACCTCCTCAGCTGCTGGACGTTGTTATCCCAACAAAAGGTAACTCTAAGTGATTTAGCGTTACAGTTGGAGTTAGAGTGTCATTCTCAGTGCTCCTGAAAGGAGAAAGTTGAAGCTCTGAGCCCGTTTCAAGAATGCATTGCCAAACCACTACAGATCTGGGCTGTTTCAGCAGGTCGGGGTCACACGCCGGAGCCCCCGGGGCAGAGCAGCCCCAGAGTGCCGATGAGCAATTGCACATCTGGGCTGTGTTTAGGGGCACACTGTGCCCCCAACAGCCAGAGACAAATGCCGTTACTGGGAAGTTATTTAGCATTTACAGCCAGGGAACAGAGCGTTCGCGGGGGACTTTCCCTGCCTGTCCCCAGCCAAAAAAAATAATCCACATACCACTGTAAAACTTGCAGCTGTGCAAATCCCACCTACCTCCTCCCTCCGCGCAGGTAAATGCGCTCGGTTGCCCCGAGAGCTCCGTTTCTTACACGCAAAAGCAGAAACGGGAGCGAAGGCAGCGTGGGGAAGGCAGCGAGCGGCGGGCTGCGGGGCTGGAGGGGAACGCGGAGCCGGTGCCCGTCTTTCCCAGGGACCGGGGCTATAAAGGTGCTGCCGGGCGGGGGAAGTGATACGGAGCGGCGCGGTGAGGAGCGGGGATGCAGGACGGGGAGCGGCTGCCGGGGATGGGATGGGATGGGGAGGGATGGACTGGAATGGGGAGGGATGGACTGGAATGGGGAGGGATGGGGAGGGAGGGCAGCCGCTCCCGGGGGATGGGATGGGGAGGGAGACCTCGGCTGTTGCCCCCACCACCTCACCCGCTTCTATTCCCTCCGTGGCCGCTGTTTGGGTCCCGCCTGCTCCGTAGCTGAGGGTGACTTTACTCCTCCGAGCGCTTACGCATGTTGGAGTGATGAGTACGTCAGGGGCACGGACACAGCCTTCCACTGGCAAGCCAGTTCTCCGCTCTGCTATAAGACTCCGTTCTGTCCCTGGGCTGGAGAGAGACCGCATCTCCCTCGGAGAAAGGACTGTCTGAAAAGCAGACTCAGCATTTCTTAAACAGTCCTTATCGGTCTCTCTCTCTCTGCTTTAAAGCTGCTCGCCGCTGCTGCTACAGAGAGGAACTCCAGCCCGGCTGCTCTCCTCAGAGCCACCACCAGCCTCTGAGGAACCCTCTCTGTCTCCCCAGGTTTCTGATCGTGGCTCTCGGAAGTCCTCGGTGCTATGCTACCCTGCCACGTGCCGAATTTAAGGCATCCATCCAAGGTAATGTACCACCTGCTTTTAAGGTTGGGCGCACGTGCTTTGAAAAGGAAAGGGAGGATAAACGAGACTCTGGGATTCTCCAGTCCTATACCGAGTATCCGCATTTTAAAAAAAGTTGAGAGTTCCTATGGAGCACCCCTGTATTTGCTAGTTTGGAAGACTTCCCTACTGCTTCTTGATCTGCAAAGGTCTCACCCCAAACGGTGGGGAACTGAGCGGGGTGCCAAGAGGAGGAGAATGTGCTGGAGCTGCTTTTAGTCCTGAAAGATGGAAATGGGGTTGTGGAGGCACCACAAAATGGGTTTGAGAAGCATTGTTTGGGAAGGATGCTTTGTCACCTGGGATGGCGAGCAGAGGGTGATGGGGAGGCACGTGGGGGCTGGTCCCCAGTACCACCGTTGCTTTACCCCTGGGGCTGGGGAGGGCATGAGGTGGGAGAACAACTTCTTGTATTTACAACAGTAATGAATTCTCTAACGCAGCAGCCGTGTTTGCTGCTTCTGCCTCTGCGAGAGGATGAGCTAAGGGCTCTTTGCACTGTCTTTGCTGTAGTGGATGTTTGCCCCTCTCCTCCTTTTCCTGGCTGAGCTCGGCTGCAGCGCCCAACCCACTTACCAATGGAAAGATGCTGTGACAAACAAGAAGCTCACCTGCCAGCAGTGCCCGCCGGGGACCTTCGTGGCACAGCACTGCACCCAGGACAGACAGACGGTGTGCGAACCCTGCCCGGATTTGCACTACACGCAGTACTGGAACTACCTGGAGAAGTGCCGGTACTGTAATGTCATCTGCGAGGAGAAGCAGGTGGAGGTGCAGCAGTGCAATTCCACCCACAACCGCGTCTGTCAGTGCCAGGAGGGCTACTACTCCGAGATGGAGTTCTGCATCAAGCACTCCGAGTGTCCGCTGGGCTTCGGCGTAGAGAAACTGGGTGAGTACCTTAGCCAGGTGGCTGCGGCAGCAGTGCAGGTGCTTGTGAGGCTCTTCTCGCATCCTGAAATCTCTGCTAGAGCTAAAAATCAAGGAGAAATAACATGGCTGATGATTGCCCATAGCCTGACCTATCCCCTTTTTGCTCACCAGCGCAGTGCTCTCCTTGCTGGCATGTGAAACTGCTCCCGGCTTTTTTTTTTCCAAGGAGTGATTTGTTGGGGTTTTTTCTCCCACTTTTGCTTTGAAAGCCTTTGAAACCCACACACCCCCCCCCAGCACCAGCAGTCCTGGTTACCTGCTTCACCTGCCACAACAGGCAGAGCTGGGCTGTGATTCACCCATCCCCGGAGCAGCAGCTCGCCCTGCCGTGGCTCTCGGCAGGTGGAAAGGTCCGGGCGGCTCCTAATCCTCTGTCAGCTCCCTCCTCCTTGCCGGCAGGTAGCCAGGGAGCTGGGAATGCTAATTGTCTGGACTGAAAAGGGCTGCTGCTAATGATGCAAGGGCTAGGGCTGGTGAATGTGTGTAGCTCTGGGGCTGGGTTTTGTGGTTTTTATTGAGCAATTTTGAGAGGCTGTATTTAAAACATGAAATGGATACATGGAGAGGTTCCAAAACCATAAAATCAGCCTAGTTTCTATTCACATCTGGGGGAGATTCCCACGTCCGAGACTCAGTCCCCTGGTGAGATGTAAGTCACGAGATATTTTAGGAGGGTTATTTTTCCACTGTTTCTCCAGCACAAATTTGCCTGATCCCTTAGTTGCCCTAATTTGTATGTGTACATACTTTCTAAAAATGCAATTTGCCTACAAGCATGTTTCCCTCTCACTCTCCCCTGAACCTCCAAGGACCAGGCTCTGTCTGGAAACCACAGATGGGTATAATAAAACAGCGTGGGCAGCGTCAGCAAAATCAGCGCTATCTTGCGTCATGCTTTGAAGCATGGAGGCTTTTGAAGTCTTTCCATGCACAGCAGAGGAGAGCTCTGGGCTGCCAGGCCAGAGGAGAAATACCTGCCGTCTTCAGCTGACGCTTATGGTTGAAGTTCGGGGCTTAATTTTTCTATAGGACGTGACTGTTACAAAACGCAGTAATGCAGCGAAAGGTGAACCAGGTCTCCAAGCAATGCGGGGAAGCCCTTTGAAATGAAACATCAAATTTGGCTGGAGGGTTGGCTGTGGGGCTGAGGAGCCACGCCAGCAAGTTGAGGCATTTGAGGAGAAGCTAATTTTTTGTCATTATTAGTTATTTTTTACAAACGGCTTCTTGCGTGGGGAATGATGGCACCCCAGCCCAGACATCTGAACCAGCAAGGACTGAGCATCCAGCGTGGGTGGGCAGAGCCCTGGGGCTGTGGGCGCCTGTGTCTGGACGGGGACGATGTGGACCCTGCGGCTGCGGAGCGGTGGCAGTGGGGCTGTGGGCTGAGCTCGCTGGTTTTTGGGTCGGTGACTTGACCCGTGTACGGTTCCTCCGGGGAAGCAGACTTCTTGTGGCTTTCCCATTTGCAAATACCGACTCAGGTGTTGGAGTCGTCAGCTGGGCTGGCTGGGACATCTCCTGGTAAAGCCAAAGCAATGGCCTAAAGTGGGTTGTGACAAGGTAGAAACCGTGTTCTTAACTAGATACACGAGGAGGAGATGAAAAGGGGGGGTGAAATTTGCTGCCATCAGGGCCGTTCCCTCTTCTCCCAAAGAATGTGCAAGACACCCTGATGCAATCTCGCTCGCGTGGCACTGTCCCTGTGAAGCAGCGGCGGGTCTGGCCCAGAGCCTGGGTGGGAAAGTGCGGCGCTGCAGAAGCGAGAAGAGCTTTCACCTTCTCAGCGACTTTTACTTTCACTTGGCCAGGAGCCTCCTGACTCTGCTGTGAATCAAAGGGCTGGTTTGGCACTCAGCGTACCCATCGTCCCAGCTGGTGTCTCCGACCCGGGACGTGGCTCTTCTCAGTAGCAGATGAGATCTCTTGTGTCTGGAGGCCGGTGACGAGTTGTCAGTACGTGCCGAATGCTTTGGCTTGGGAAACGACTGGGGAAAGCGTTGGTGTTTGTCCTACAAAGGGATGCTTCCTAGGGGACTTGCAGGCAGTGATCATTCCCAAAACATCACCCTCACTCTCAAATGGTGTCCGGCACTCTTTGCTCTGCAGGCATCGTCCCCAGCTCCTGCCCCTGCTCCCTTGCCAGTTTGTCACCCCAGGCTGACGGTCCCCTTGCCTCCCCGTGCACAGGTACCCCCTTCGAGGACACCAAGTGCCGTGCCTGCCCCCGCGGCTTCTTCTCTTCCTCCAACTCCAGCATCAAGCCGTGCCAACCGCACCAGAACTGCGAGGAGCAGGGGAAGGTGACCAACGTGCAGGGCAACCAGTACCACGACACCCTCTGCACCTCCTGCAGACTGGGGAAAAGCAACAGCACTCAGGGACCAGGTGAGCCACGGGCAGAGGAGGGGGGGATGCCGGGACCGCGATGCTGCCAGGGCGAGAGCCAACTTTCTGGTGACTTTTTCCTATTTAGATGCAAACTGTGGTGAAATAGCTCGTACAAGTATGGAGTGATCCATAATTAATAGCAACTTTAGATAAAATATAGACTGTCTGCCTTCCTCCCCCTCCAGGGTGGGTCATGTAGGGCAGAGACAGGGCACAGAGCTTCAGCAATGGGCACTGCTCAGCCAAAGCACGTGCAGGGTCCTTGCTCAGCAAGAACAAAGAGCTGGCAGTGAAATCCTGCCAGTTCTTACCAGGGACTGGCTTAACTGGGGATGCTGGGACACGAGGACAGTTTAGGCAGCCATTCAGCAGTGCCCGATAGCTCGCAGTGATAACCGATGGCTGGCGGTCATGGAAATGGGCTGAGCCACCCAGCTCGGCTCCTGGCGTGTCTCCTGCGCTCACTTCTCACATGCTTTCAGCCCATTTACCAGGAAACCTGTATTGGGGCCGCAACCTTGTCTCATGCAGGTTGAATGGAGCAGAGTCCAAAGTACATCAGACGCTCAATGTAGGGTGGATTTTGACCTGTTAGGTGAAAAAGTAGAGCCATAGTGTCAACTGTGTCACCATGATAGTGCAAACATACCACTAAGCCTCGGTGGAGGCTAAAGGTTGGGCAGGAGCTGCAAGCAGGCACAGATGAGGCTAAAGGAGAGCGATGGGGTGGCTCTGGGGTGCTTTGTAATGTACACCCCAACAAGTGAGGGGGTGAGAAAGGGACTGAAAACCATCCCAAGGGCCTGTTGTCAGTTGGGGTGAAGCAGGCAGGCGTTTCAAACCACTCACTCTACTCTGAGCATCCAACCAAGATACACACGGAACAAACCCAACGTGACCGGTCCGAGTGCCAGTGAACCTGTGCCCTTGGAGTTAAAAAAAAATAAATAAAAGTAACCAACTGTAGAGCCATAGAACAGCCCAGGCTGGAAGAGACCTTGAAAGTTCATTGGTCCCACCTTCCATGGGAAAAGGAGCCTGGATGAGATTGCCCAGCACCCTGTCCAGCCATGTCCTGAAAACCTCCAGCGATGGGGACCCCACTGCGTCCCTGGGGAATTGTCCCAGTGATTGGCTCTTTTCACTGTAAAAAATTGCTTTCTTCCATCAAGATGAAACTTGTGTTTCAACAAGAGCTTCTCCTCTGCGGTGATGCAGCAAGGAGGCTCTTCCCCCCCGGCAGCACGCGAGAGGAGCTCCTGCCTTTCCATCCTCTCCTGGCACAGTCAACATGGGGCGCTTCTGCTTACGAAGCCTGACTCACACCACGAGCTCCTTGCCAGGAGTGTGATCCCGCCAGAGAGAGGAGATGGAAAGCTCCGTCATCAGCAGGACGTGGTCCCGGGGAGGGGGAAGCGGTCAGGTGAAGGCTGCGTCAGCAGCACGTGCGCTGCCGCTCGTTAGGCAACGGCACCCACGGCCAGAGCAGCCTTTCAGCTATTTATAGAGCGAGAGGAGACCCGTGAGCTATGGCAGCTGAAGGGTATTTTTAACTCTGGTTTGTCATGATTTCACTCGGGAGGCGTGTGGGCACCTGCCTTCCTCCCGGCTGGAACGGCAATTGCAGGAGTAATTCAACATAAACCGCGAGTTTGCAGGAGAGGCAGAATCTGGGCAAGGGAGCCTGACCCACCCCACTATAACCAGTGAAACCGTTCCCAGTTTACAATGGCAAGAAACTGGGCCAGTCTCTCCCCGATTGAGTAATCACTTGGCCTTGATCCCTTGAAAATTCTTTATGATTTCATCCCTTACGCTCCAGCAGCGCTTTAACCAGCTGGGACCAGGTCTGTCCAAAAGCCCTGGTCCGGGCTGCACCTGGGGCTTGTCCTGTCCCGAGATGTAAAAATTTGCATGGGAAAATGGAAACTTTCAGGAAAAATAACGTGTAAATACTTACTGTGATTACTTCAGTCTTTCTGGAGTTTCCCTCTTGCCCTACTCCCTGGCAGGGAGGAGCGTGGAAAAGGTATATTTACTTTTTTCAAAATTACAGGAACTTTTACCCATTGTTTTCTAACTGCCCCGTACAGGGTGGGCCACTGCTGGGAAATCCAGCCTGTGGCGAGGGCTGGACGCTGCCTTCCAGGGCAGTTACCTGGCAGAGATGGACCTCAGCCAGTTAACGAGACCATATTTGGTACTTCCCTCCTTCCTTCCGACCTCATTTTTTTCCGATTGCAAAATGCTTATTCTGACCTGCTTGTTCCACCGCACACCTGCCCGCAGCAGGAGCCAGCAGCCCTCCCTCTTCCCCTCCCTCTTCCCCCTTGACTTAGGCAAAGGATGAGCCGCTGCAAGCCAGATGCTGCCGCATCCTCGGGCAGGGACTCGCGCTCTGCCTGGGCACTCGCGTGCGTGGGTAGAGCTGGGCAGGGGACCCTCAGCTCGTGTTCATGGATGTACGTGGCCATGTGAGCGAAAATACCCTCCCAAATCTGGAAGACGGGTTGTGAGAGGCAGGTTTCCCGGCAGGGCTCACTGGGCTGGGGCCCCTGGTCCGAGCTGCAACTGGAGAGCAGCGCCCAGGTGAGGACAATGGCATAGAATCATAGAATAGTTTGGGTTGGAAGAGACCTTTAAAGGTCATGTAGTCCAACTTCCCCTGCAATGAGCAGGGACATTGTGCCAACACACTGGAGGGAAGGGACTCCATCCAGAGGGACCCTGACAGGTTTGGGAGGTGGGCCTGTGTGAACTTCATGAAGCTCAACAAGGCCAAGTGCAAGGTCCTGCACATGAGTCGGGGCAATCCCATGCACAAATACAGGCTGGGCAGAGAATGGACTGAGAGCAGCCCTGAGGAGAAGACTTGGGGATGTTGGTGGATGAGAAGCTCACCATGAGCCAGCAATGTGCGCTGGCAGCCTGGAAAGCCAACCGCATCCCGGGCTGCATCCCCAGCAGGGCGAGGGAGGGGATTCTGCCCCTCTGCTCTGGGGAGACCCCCCTGCAGTGCTGCCTCCAGCTCTGGAGCCCTCAGCACAGGAGAGACATAGATCTGTTGGAGTGAGTCCAGAGGAGGCCATGAAGGTGATCAGAGGGCTGGAGAACCTCTGCTATGAGGCCAGGCTGAGAGAGTTGGGGGTGTTCAGCCTGGAGAGGAGAAGGCTCTGGGGAGACCTTATTGTTGCCCTTCAGTCTCTAAAGGGGCTCCAGGAGAGCTGGGGAGGGACTCTTGATCAGGGAGTGGAGCAATAGGATGAGGAGGAACAGTTTGAAACTGAAAGAGGGGAGAGTTAGACTAGATATAAGGAAGAAATTCTTGCCTGTGCAGGTGTTGAGCCCCTGGCGCAGGTTGCCCCGAGAAGCTGTGGCTGGCCCCTCCCCGGGGGGGGTCCAGGCCAGGGTGGGGGGTGGAGCAACCTGGGCTGGTGGGAGGTGTCCCTGCCCATGGCAGCAGGGTTGGGTGGGTTGCTTCCCACCCAAACCATTCTGTGATTCTATGAAGATCGGGTTCCTCAGAGCCCCATCCAACCTGACCTTGAATGTTTCCGGGGATGGGGCATCTACCACCTCTCTGGGCATATGTCCCATAGAGAGGCTCAGTAGGGCTGTGGCCTGCTCTCCTGGTGTCCCACAGTCACCTTCCCTCTAACCTCCAGGTGGTTTTCTCCCACCATCTCTAGGAGATGACGACTGTGAGCAAGCCATGATAGACTTTGTGGCATACCAGAACATCCCCGTCAGAAAGCTGAAGCGCCTGCAGCAAATCCTGGAGCACTCACCGAGGAAGCAAGCACTGGAGACCAGGGCGGCCGTCCAGGAGAAGTTCAGGGCTTTCCTCATCCACCTCAAAGAGGGGCACTACGAGGTCACCAAGGAGCTGCTGGACGCGCTGCGAGTTGCCAAGCTGCACTCTATCGAGGAGAAGGTCCGCGAGCGCTTCCTCCTGTAATGAGAACACAAACTGAACTTTTCGGGTGGTTTTTTTTTTGTTTGTTTGTTTGGTTTTATTTTCTTCTGTGGCTTCATTAATTTATTAATCTTTCCAAACCTAACTTGAAATGCAGCGTAGAGATGAGTGATGGGTCAGAGTTAAACCGTGCTGTGGCCGCGGCGGTGGGTCCCACTCTGCGTGTGGGTGTGTTGCTGCCTCCGGGATGGGATGCTCTGAGAAACAGCATCCCTGCGCCAGCGGCCGCTCCGGCTCCCGGGAGCTCCCTGGGTGCTGGCCCCTGATTTTCCAGCACTCAGCAAGGGCCAATATTTTATCAGAAGAGAAACATGAGACCAGGGTCATTTTTTTCTGGGGAAGAACGCAGCTCCCCCTTTTTAGACAACTGTCTGGCTTTGTTTTAAACTTTGTGGTTTGGGTTTTGTTGTGGGTTTTTTGTAGTTATTTAACAGTATTTCCTGCAGAGGATTCACTTGTGTTTGTCACGCTTTGTTTTGAGAATGGAGTTTGCTGCTGAGACACACGTTGGGTGTAGGATGCCCCTGAAGTCACTGGTACAGCCGGCTTTAAATTGTTTTCTAAACTACCTGTTTTTATACCATGTGTGAGAGATATTTTCTAAAGAAAGAAACCAAAGAAGTTATTTTATTATACAGTTCTGTCACCAGAGTCCTTTTCTAGTCCCATTTGGAGGAGAGAGGTGGTGTTGCAAGTCCCAAACCATCACCTTCTGACTCTGCTTACCCTTGTCCGCTCTTTGCAATGTGCTTCACCCCATGATCACACAACCTCAGCCGCCCCCACGACACAATAGCCCACCGAAACCAGCCCCCCCCCCGAGCCACGGCAAGGCTGAACGCGAGCGGGACATAGCCTGTCTGCGTTGGGATTTGCCGCCGGTGCGGTCAAGGTGAAGCTCACATCTCCTGGGTCAACCCAAGAGTGTCACCCTGAGCTCCAGGTCTGTCCCCAGACCCAACCAGACGCTGTGGCTAGCGAAGAGGCGCTTAGTCAGCCAAAAGCCGTGCCTTGGGGCACTTTGCTGACTGCAGGCGGGTTTTTTTACGCCTTGCAGATGTCACGCAGGGAAGTCACCACGGGTGACCCTCTCAGGCATTTTCCAGCCTGTAGCAATGATGATGCAGAGGCTACATCTCCTGCCTTGAATGAGTTTGGCTTCTTTATAGCTCTTTTTTAGCTGAGTAGTTGCCAGGAATAGTTTGTGGTTCAAAAGCAGAATATTTTTCCCCAGCCAGGAGCTGTTATAAGCACTTTGAAACATGTGCTGCGTGGAAGTGCCCCCACACTTCCCCCGTGCGAGGAAGGCTGACATAACCGAGCACAGAGGGGATTTTAACCTCCCCTTGCTGCCCACAGACTTGTCCCAGCCTTTTCCAGCTGCAGTGATGAGTTGTTCATCCACGGTGGGCTGGATAAACAGGGCCGATCCTGGGGGCAGCGCTTGCCTTTTCGCTGCTCCGGAGCTCCGGACTCCTGGGATGACTGCTCACATCTGCTCGGCTCTGCAGATCTGCAGCTGGGGACCCTAGACTTGCAACCATCTCACCCCGGTTTTGGGCTGTGGGGATGAAGCGGTTGAGTGATCCTGACGTTGCCCCGGGTCACTTCAGGCAGGGACAAAGAGAAGCAAATGGCTGAAAAGCAGCAGAGGGAACCCCCTCGCTCACACCTCTGCACTGAGCCAGGGCTGATCCTGGCGTTCCCCTCACAGCTTTGTCGAGCCTGGCCCTGAAATCCTACAAAGGAGGCTGCACAAGGGCCAAACCTCCCTTTCCCAGTGCTCAGTTACCACCATGTCTAATCTCTGCCCCACTGAGCTGCTTTATCCCAGCGGGCTGCAGCTCAGTCCCCAAACGTGACTTACTCCGAGTCCCTTGGCCGTAGCGAAGCGCTGATGGTGCGGTCCAAGAGCAGCTGAGCTGGAGATGAGGAGGGTTTCCATTGGAGTACTGTGAGAAATGAATTACTACTGCAGAGTGGTGCTTTTCCCCGGGGCGGAGGGGAAGGCAGGACACCCGGGGCTGATGGGTGGAAGGCTGGAGCAGCCTTCACGGCTCCTCGCAGGGTTCCCGTCCTGCTGCGTTGCGGTTAGTCCTGATGCAGCACTAAGAATTCAGCGTCCTTGGTCTAAAGGAGAAGAGGAATGGAGGGTTGTTACTGTAGGAACTGCCTCCTGTTGGAGGTGTGGACCGTTGTCCACGCCGCCCTGGCTTCTTCAAATAGGTATTTACCATGAGACCTGGGGGAGGGAGGGAAAATGGGAATGTTATTGGCAAGAAGCTGGTAATCGTTATCTTGGACACTGCTTTAGTTGGGCGATATTTTCAGGGAAAGAGCTGCCTTTTCTGTGTGTTTGTTGTGATAAAAGCCCACAGTCCTGAGATGGAAGTGCCCATGGGGCACCGTGGCTGAGCTCGGGGTCTTGGGAGATGGTTGCCCTTCTCAGCAGCAAGGCAAAACCCGGGGTGTGGGCTGGAGGTCTCCATCAGCCGTGCAGTGAGCCAGGAGGTAGGCGGCTCCGGTCCCCGGGCTCCGGGCTGAGCTGTGGCTGCGCGCCGGCGGCTTCTCGCGGCTGCGACGTGGCTGGGGGCTCCAGGCCAGCCCAGGCACTGGCAGAGAAAAAGGTTCAGCCGTGCTCAGTCCTGTGCTCATCTCCCCACGACAACACGCTGAGCCGTGACAGCGCCCAGCGGCTGATTAACACAGACCGGGCAGCCATCGCCCGCTCTCCCAGCACACGTCCTCCCAGCTGGGCTCGCCTTGGCCTGGAGAAGAGCCCGGGAAACATCTTTCCTGTTGAACGTCAGTGCAGAGGAGGGGTGTTTGGGGTTTTTGGGGGTTTGGGGGGTTTTATTTGACATGGTGAATGCCTTGTCCCATGCGGACACCAGTCTGCACAGATCCTTTGTCCATTCAGATAAAGCAAATGCAGCAGCTGCTTTTGTAGGCTTGCTCCCACCCAGAGGTTTGCAAGAGCTGTGGTCCCACCGCTGTGGCTCCGAGGGGTCAAACACCCCCGGGCGCAGGTGGTGCAGGATTGAGGAGAGCCGCCCGGCTCCTTCCCACCCTCCTCTCCTGAGAAGTGCTGCCTTGCGGAGCCCCCGTGGCCCTCCCGGCACTGAGAGTGGGTCCCCCCTCCGGGAGGGGAGACGATGGGTGTCTGTCACCCCTGTGCTGCACCAGATTGCAACGGGGGCCACAGACCTCAGCTTGCTGGAGCAGGAGAGGATGGTTAAATAACTGGGGATCGCCCAGCCTGTGGCAGATCATAGAATCATAGAATCGCTGAGGTTGAAGGGACCTTTAAGATCATCAAGTCCAACCATTAACCTACCCTGACAAAACCACTTCTAAACCATGTCCCCAAGTACCACATCTAGATGAGCTCTGCGCTGCCAGGTTCCCCCAGCCATCAACCAGTGCAACCAGGACCAGGGGTCTGGGGGAGGCAGGTGATGCCCTGTGCCACACGGCAGCTCCCCAGCTCGGTGCTACCAGCGTGACTGGCTCTTCCAGTAGGTCTCGTGAGCACCCACGTGTTGTTATCTCGCTCTGCCAAGGTGGCTTTGACCTGGCGGTGGCTCGGCGTGCGTTTGGGTGTTGGTGGGGCAGAGCAGGTTGGAGCATCCCTTTGGGAGCTTTCCAGGCAGGTGACGTTTCGGGCACCGGTGCCGTTTATCACCTCTCCCCAAGTCTCTCTGCTGCCGTAGTGGGCGGTCTCCCCCCAACCCACGTCCCCTCATGCCCAGTGAGTTGGAAATTCTGCATGGCAAAGTTTCTCCTCGTGTAGGCTCACAGATAACGTGACAGCGGGGGATCTTTCTGGTAAATATTGACCTTTCCAAACACCCCAACACGTGAGTCCTGCTCGGTTTCCAGGAAATGGGCTTTGCTGGAAAAGCCCGCGTGAGCGCCGTGCCGCGCTGGCCCCAGCTCCCCCCCTGCTCCGCTCCCACCTCCCCGCACCCCAACCACGGCCGGCGGTCACACACCCACCTCGGATTGATCACAAGTTTAATTAGTTGAAAAGGTGAAATAACTTAAGAGGATAAAAACCCCTTTCGGTTTTCACTGAAGTTTCCAAAGCGTGTAGAGAGAAGAGGAACAGTCGGCAGCGTGAGCTTCTTCCTGGTAATTTAAATGACTGCTTTCCTTATAAGCTCTGGCTAAGGACAAGTACATGGTAACATTTAAACATGGATGTAGCTCTCTCCCGGCAATGACTCAGATATTTAGTACATAGAAGATAATTTCCCCAAATGCTATGAGACTACATAAAAAGCCCAAGCCCACACTGTTCTGAGTCGGGCTTCCCTATCACCCTCTGCTGTTAAATTCTTACAAGAGGAAAAAAAGAAAAACCGCAAACCCACTAGTTTATTTAAGCTGCTGAGGCACGGCCGCGTGTTATGTCTGTGCCACGGGGTGACTCCGACACCTCTCGCTGCAGCCAGGTGGGGCAATGACTCAGGGTGGCAGCGAGCCCTTAAACCCACGAAACCGCCGTCGGCAGGAGCCAACTTGCTCATCGCGAGAGCTGTTTGGGCACATTACGCTTTAACGCAACGAGAACACCGCATGCGCTGGCCCAGGGTTTGAAACGGGGATAGGTAAATGATTAATGTTTGTTTAAGGAGTCAGTGCGAGTTTTTCTAGTGAGGTCACACGTAGCTGGTTTACACCTTGACGTTGCAAACGAGGAGCCAGGATTGCGAGAGGAAACCGCGGGGGGGGATTTTTGGAGGTGCGCAGAGGGATGCAGAGGGGGTGCGACCAGTGCAGACCGGTAATCCTGCTTGTCCAAAGAGCCTTCAGCCACCCCTGGCCCCGGGGTTACAACCTAGTGACAAGACAGGTAAATTCACTCTTCTGCCTGCACATTTCCCCACGTTTTCATTTTGCTAGAGGCAGTTCTTCGCCCCCTGCCCTGCCCTCCCATCTTACTGTTGACTGTGGGCTGAGCCCTCCAGATACTGTGG